ATTGTGTGTGGGTGCTGGCCGGCTGGGAAGAAGAGACAGTCCTTGTGCATTTTAGGTCTCTTTCATGAGAAGAAATACAGGTAAACCTTGGAAACTCCCAACCACACTAATGCCCAATGAAAGAACTAACTTTTTATGCCGTGATTTTATTTTACTCAAACCTAAATGGCTCATAGTTTAATGTAAAATGCTAGTTCATTTCAAAGTTGAATGTAAATTATAAAATGGCACTTTTATTAAAGTATGTCATTATTTTTCTCATGAAGATAAGGACCGTGGGTAGTTTTAGTTTCCAAATATTGTTAATCTGTAATTGCCCGAGTTAATCTTACACTGTCCTTAACAATGTATGTTGCATTGAAACTGTTCTATCCAATCATCATTTGTTCTCACAATTTGGTTGTCTTTATTTTAGCTCCTGTGTCCTACCAACTTCTCCACTGTGTTTTGGAATTACTAAGGAAAACTCTCCTAAGCCTGCTAACACCAAACGACATGGTTAGTATCACATACTCCGAAACACATGTACAGATGTGGTCATCTCCCCCCACAGTCAGCATTGCTGTCTCACTCTGTGAATTCACTTTTGCCAAAAGACGAATCCAGTGCTGCTTCTTCTGTCTTTCAGATTTATTGCACATTATCTTTGGGTGGGAATGTGCTCCACACTTCCCCCCCTGAGTTTGTCATAATTCACAGGAACTCAAGAGCCCGTCTTAATACTGCTGTGTTTTCTTGGGGGACTTGCAGTGGCACCTGGGGTGAACCCTGGGTGGTTGAACAGTATGTTATAGCATCATGCACACTTCAGGGTGTGTTTCTGAAACATTTGGTCAAAGTACACCTGTCACAACTGGAAGTAATTTCTTGTATTAGTAAGGCCATAATACAATAATATTGTCTATCTAAAAAAATGGGTTTTGATTGTTTTTTGTAAACTGTAGCCAAATAGTCCTCAAATCGACTTTTTCAATTTATATTTTAAAAGTGAACTTTCATGTTAAGACAGCATAATTCATGGTTTCCCTATTTAAATTATAGGAATCATTGCTAATGAATGCCTCATTGTTTTCCCTTCATTGACCAATGCAGACTCACGGTCTTTTTAAGTCTCTCATTGACTTAGTTAAGATTATATCCCCCCCCCAAAAAAACACACACAGTCAGTCCCACGGATACACTCTGTATACATTCACCGCATCTACATGTTTCCTGGCTTTTTACCCCCAGGCTACTGGCTCAGCCTCTTCCAGATCTCCAGGCATGGTTTAGATGAGGCACTAGACCTCCCTGGTTTTTTCTAGGGTCCACATCATCTGGAGCACCCCATTCTGAGGCAGAAAAGTCATTCAGTCCCTGAATTTGATTTATGAGGCAGGTAGCCTGCCCCTGTTTGTACCAGGGTTCTTCTTGGTTGCACCTTCAATGGAATTAATGTCAGGTTGAGCCTGTGCACTGTGGTCCATTCCTGTGTGTTTTTTCCATCAGGGACCCTGTACAGGATTGAAGTACTTGCTGCTATCTGGGTGTGGTGCCACTTGCCCTTCATCCCAGTTCTTGGGAGATAATGGCATTCCAGTTTCAGTGAGTTAGAGGCCAGCCTGGTGTACAAAACGAGTCTTAGGACAGTCAGGACTGTTTCACAGAGAAATCCTATCTCCCCAAAAACAAACAGAAAAAGAAAAAAAGAAATACACGGTGTTACACATAACATGGTTTAGTATAGTTTGCATTAATTTCTTGTACCTTTCATCCCTTGATGAACTTTTGGCTGTTTTTCCTTGGCTTGACTTCTGCATGGAAGCCTCTTCCATGCAGAAATGAAGCCTCTTCATTTCATTGGTCAGAGGGTCGTTTTGCTAGAATTTTCCTGGTTTTGGGAGACAGTGATATCGTAAAGTTAAATGTTTGCTGCTTCTTTTGCATCATGTCATATAGCTATGAGGAGTGTCGTAGAGGACCGGCCCCTGGTTTTCCACACTAAGATCAGGTCATCTGGCTATACATCGGCACCACAGTAAGTACCAGCCATCATGTGTTTGTCAGTGGTAGAACTGACCTGCAAGAATACCATGGAGATGGGATTTAGTATGGACACTAATGTGTCCACCATGATCAGGGCAGGCAGGGACCTAACTTGGAATAAAATGTGAGCTAGACCACAGAGTACCACAGTCATCATGAGGGTAGCAGCTATACAGGTAACATTTGTTACGTTCTTACTGGCCGCTGATCTCTACTCAGCTCCTTGTGTTCTGGTGAGCGAGAAGCTGGTGGGTTGGCAAAGTGGAGAAAGGCAGTTCATTAAAATGAAGTAGCTCACCAAGGCCTGGCCTAACTCTCTCTCTCTCTCTCTCTCTCTCTCTCTCTCTCTCTCTCTCTCTCTTCTCTGTCTGTCTGTCTGTCTTTCGTAAATACAGCCTGCTGAGCTTCTATGCATGTTTTTAAGGCTGGCCAAGTGGGATTGTGTAACCCATCATTGAGTTCATCTGGGACCACACCCCTTTGATTAGAACAGCTTTGTTGCTATATCAGGGTGTTAAAACTCAGGATATTTAAAATCTGAAGCAGCAAGTCTAATGGTCAGGCTATTTATAGGCCCCAAACCACAAAGCTTCATGGGAGAACCACCACAAAGTCTAGAGGCAATTTTCTTTTCCTTTACAACATGTAGTCACTTATCTCAAACTAAACCTCATGTGTTTTTTTTTTTTTTTTTTCGAGACAGGGTTTCTCTGTGTAGCTTTGGAGCCTATCCTGGCACTTGCTCTGGAGACCAGGCTGGCCTCGAACTCACAGAGATCTGCCTGCCTCTGCCTCCTGAGTGCTGGGATTATAGATGTGCGCCACCAATGCCCAGCTCTCATGTGTGTCTTTAACACAGTAGTCCAAGTTACCCCAGGATCTGGAGCTCCATGGGATCCCTGCACTTATAGCATGTGACAGTTTTTGGTGGGGTCTCTGTCTTCTCCCAGTTGGTGCTCTCACCTTACCTTCACTCTTGCCCACCTGCTCTCACCTCAGCCTTGAGGCCCTGCTCAGTTCTTTTCAAGGCCTCTGACTGACCTCGGCCATCCTGTACATAACTGCAGTTCTACCACCCCCTCAGTCCTCCTGTATCTTACCAGTCCTTTTCTTTCCCAAATGGCAACAGCTGTGGATGTGTGTTACTTATTGTCTATTCTATAGACCTGTGTTTGGGCAGCATTTGGCTCCTTAAAACTCTCAAATAAGATACTCATGAAAAAAATGTCAGGTACATAAAAGGAAGGATGGATGAGTAGAGAGATGGGTGGATGGAGAGATCACTAGATGGAAAGAAAGATGAATCAATAGAAGGACCAGTTAGTCACAGGTGTGTACAAACTGTGGCCCACTGGCCACATAAGCTCCAGGATAGCTATGACTATAGCCAGCACAAACCACAAATCTACTTAGAGCAATATGAGGTTTTTGTATGTTGAATTTTAAAATTTGATTGCATACTATAGTTTTGAGCATGAACTTCATAGATGACAATGTGGCCCAGAGAAGATACCCCTGAATGAATGATGGCAGATGGATGGATTGGGTGGATTGGAAATTCATGCATTAGAACAACACAGCATTTTAATCTATGAGGTTAAGAATGGATGATGTGCAAGGCTGTGGTGGTCCTGATGTTGCCCTGGGACTTTGAGCTGAGAGGCATTAGATAGGATTACCAAAGAGGAGGGGTGTAGCATTGTGACATCTCTGAGTCAGGGTGAGTGACTGTTCTTGAACTCAAGAAGAACAGAAGGAAGCTGAAAAAAATGCAAGTTTGTACATGTTTAATTTTTCCTTGTAAAATATAAATATTTTAAAAAATTTAGAATCCTAATTGTTGAGAGTGATATGTATATATGTGTATATGTGTTTTCCTTCCAGTGTGACTATGTTTTCTCCAAAGACGAACATCAAGCATAATAGCAAAAGAGCTTCAAAATTCAAGAACAATTACAAATGGTATGTAATTGAGTGCATGCACTAAGTAAATTTGAAGCAACTTAGAAACATTCTTAAAGTGCTTACTTGATTTTTAAACAGATATATGTCTATGTATGCATAAATATGAATACAAACATGTCATTGATATACATTCAAATCAAATATGGTTGTCTCATTTTAGTATTTCTTTGGCTCTTCTGCTCTTTTTATTATGTTTTGAAATAGTGAGTTTTTGCTAAAATGCAGTTGTAGGAAAGTATTGCTTCTGGTGCTGACCACCCCTGAGAACCATTTCAGGTCTCCATGGTGACAGAGGGGCAGTTGCAGAGCCAGTATAGCTTCTTAGTGGTCATCACTGGTTCATTGACTTGGACATGCTTCCAACATAGTCTGAATATGTACAAAGAGTTTGGGACCTTGGCCTTGCCTCAGGCTGAACTTTATATGACGAACATATAAGATATATGATGAAAAAAGAGATTGTGGGCTGCCTAACTTAATGCTCATCTTTATGTACCCCACACCTGCATTTGAACAATGATTTGAACAATGCTTACTGGAACATGGAGTGTTTGTGATTGACCTTGATCAGTGGCATCTATTATTGGGGCTTAGCATAGGTGCTTTCACACATATGCACAGTGTTCCTTGATGAGAGTGACCTGATGTTGTCTACTACTCTCACTATATAGCCCTTCCAGTCTCCAGAGTCTCACTTGGTATTGGGTATGTGTACTTGCAGTGACTTGTGGGGGTGTCTGGACGAGTTTAAAGAAGGCCTGGTGGGGCCCTACATTTCTCTAGTTAGTATGTAAAGTGCATTTCCAGCTTAGGGTATTTTCCACTTATGATGGGTTTGTGAAACCATGACTCCACTGCAAGTTGAAGAATACTAGTCAGTATTATAATACCAACCCATAGACGTATGAAACTAGGGGCTTCGGAGATGGCTTAGTGGTTAAGAGTGCCTGCCATGAAAACAAGAGGGTCTGAATTTGCATTCTTAGCACACACATAAGAGCTTGAAGAATGACATCTGGGGTTGACCTCTGGCCTCCTTATGCACATGCACACATATGTACTTATATGCACACATGCATACCTGCACACATTCATACTACACACCAACCCACAAAGATATGTCTTTGATAATACAGAATACAAATCTGTTTTAAAGAGCTGTTCATGATTGTGACTGTAAGAGTTTATATAGATTTTCAGCTTTAATCATATAAAAGGATATATCTGAGTAGAGGGAAATATACTTAATGTCCAAGTTTATTTCTAATCTCTCACAAACTTATCTTTTGGTTTTTTTCACTATGGCCTTCCTTGAAGTAAGGAGTACTCTTTGGAGAGGTTCCTACCCAGAAACCTCAGCAGGCAGGTTGCTGTGGCCCAGGAGCCTGTTGCTGTGAGCTGTGTGCAGTTCTCAGGTAAGCCTCCTCTTGGAAACATTTGCTCTTCATACTTGCAGCTGGATTCTTCCCACCATCCTGGGGTGGATTTGTTTTTGAAGATCTTGGTTGTATGGGTCAGGATTCTCTAGAGGAACAGACCTGATAGAAGGAAAATACATATGTGGGATTTGAGTGGCTTACAGACCATAGTCCAGCTAGTCCAACAATGTCTATTTCCTGATGGAAAGGTCAAGGATCCAGTAGTTGTTCCAGTCCATGAATCTGGATGTCTCAGCTGGTCTACAGACTGTGTGAGAATCCAGAAGAAGTAGGTTCTAATACCAGTGAAGGAACATCTAAGCGGCAGGGTAGATGAAAGTGTCAGCAACAGAGAAGGGCAAGGAGGCAAAAAGCAAGTGCCGTGTCCTTCTTTTCCTTCTTTCATATTGATTTGTGCAAGCTGCCACCAGGTGTGACCTCTATTTAGGCTGGATCTTCTGACCTCAACTGATCCAGGTTTAGGAGTGGTCTTCTTACCTCAAACGATCCAGTCAAGAACTCCCACCCTTTCACGGGTATGCCTGACTTCTCCGGCTTTAGTTGATTCCAGATATAGTCAGATTGACGATCAAGATAAGTCAGAACTGATATGCACGGCTTGGATCTAGAATGAAGTGGGGATTCGATTGTACTTAATGAGGGCTGTCACGGGGCGCTTCTGTCCTTCAGTACTCCAGGAGGGCGAACACACTTTCCACAATGACCCCTTTACACAGGAGACTGGCGAGATGGCTTTCTGTAGACAGAAGCTAGAGATGTGACCACAGGGGCATCACAGGGCGGTCTTGAAACTGGCCTGTGAGCTGTGTCTCTCCCTCAGGTGGACCACGTCTCACAGGCAGGAAAGAACACCACTTTGACCTCCACAGGTGCTGCCATGTTCTCAAATGTATCTTAGCTGCGTTCTTCCCAAGGCTCTTTTACGGGTTCTCACATTTTTTCTTGAAGGTGTTTGGAAGGGGTGAAGTGGCTACTTGTGAGTAGCTGCGGCTTTGTGAAGATACCCTTACCTCCTTCAGAGTGTTTTCGGTGGGTCGTCTAAGTATTATCGCACTTTGTCACTCTGGATAAAGGAACTCTGCCTTTCAGATAATTCTAGGCAGACACCTTTTGGAAACTGAATGTGCAGTGCTGGCAGTGGGCATCTTTTGATCCCCGATTTTGACTATTGTGGAAGTGCTCTTGCAATACAGCAGCTCTGCAGTCTGGGGCTCAGCCCTGATCCTTTTATCTTCTGTGAGCAGAAGGCTGCAATGGTCCCAGAGACAGCTGCTCTGTGAAGGTTCTGATGAGGGGTTGGCTGAAGGACCAAGAAACCCTTGGGAAGCTGGGCATATGAATGACCGTCGAGCCTTCTTAATACTCTGAGTGTTCTCCACTCTAACAGTCAGTTGATCAGTGGGATTCCCATGTTACTATTCTATTGTGCTGTTTGTTTTTTTAAACAGGGGATGGACAGCAGTTGGCCTGTGGCTTAGCTAACCATCTTTCCCTGGTCTTTGATGCTAGCCTTTCTGGAACGCCTGCTGCTTTTTCAGGTATCCCTAATCTTGAGGAATGGAAATGAGGGAGGGTGGATCTTGTGGGCCATGCTTGTCCAAAGCAGACTGAGCTCCAGTTTCCCATACACGGTGGCTCATTGGTGGGCCTGGGCTTCTGGGACAGGTTACTAAACCAGGTGGAGGCTGTATATGTTCCCAGTGTGCATGTTCACTAAGACAAAGCAGCAAGCTGTGCCCTCAGTAGGTGCCTTGTCTGTTGCTTATGCTGCTTTGAGATTCAGGTTGGTGCAGTCTAGGTAGACAGCTGATGCTGTGGTGGGGATGAGAGTATCCCAGCGTTGAGTGTGTCATCAACTTCTTGGGAACCCTGAACTCTGGTGGGATTGTGCCACCTGCTCCTCCTGCATGTGGTCCTATGCAGCCTCTGCACGAGCTGGTAGGGATCCAGGTGGATCCAAACATCCTTGCTTTCAACTGAGGAGTGCGAGGGTGTCACTCCAGAGCTGACAAAAAGAAACGTCAGAGGTCAGGAGGTAGAATTGTGCAGGGCAGGTGTGGAGCAAGTGCATTGTCAGGTCGGGGTACTAAGATGTGCCCTGCCTCCAGGGCAGATGAGAGCCAGCACTGTTGGTGAGGTGCTGTGGCTCTCGGGTGTGATTTGTACTCAGTGACAATACCACAGGTGCTCTCTGCTAGTGCAGTCACAGTGTCATCTCCCTGTTGCTTTTGATTGTTAGCAAGCCTGGCAAATGCTTGAGACTTTTGTTGTTATTGTTGTTGTTTATTTGTTTTTAATTAGTTCTTTAAGAATTTTGAAAAAAAATCGATCATATTCATCCCCCCTCCCAACTCTTCTCAGATCCATGCCTTCCTTACCCACCAAACTTTGTGTCCTTTTTTTTTTTCTAGCCCATCAGTTCCAGTTTGTGTTGGTCGTAAACTTTTGTATGTCTGGCCTTCCACTGCAGTTTGGATGATCTACCAGGGACCATGCCCTTAAAGAAAACCTACTTTCTCTCTCCCAGCAGCTACCAGTTGTCAGTAGCTCTTCCTGCCTACCTCCCCTCTCCTTATTGGGATTTGGTCCAGTTTGGGCTCGCACAGGTCTTAAGCATGCTCCCACACCTGCTATGAGTTCCTAGGTCATGTGCCCTGCTGTATCTGGAAAGCAGTTTCCTTGTGTCATCTACCATCCCTGGCTCTACAGCCTTTCTACCTTGGGATGTCCCATTTAGGGTTGAACATTTCACAATCTCTTATTACCCAGTTGTAGGCCTTGGTGTCAATCATCTCTTTTTCTTCTTCTTCTTCTTCTTCTTCTTCTTCTTCTTCTTCTTCTTCTTCTTCTTCTTCTTCTTCTTCTTCTTCTTCTTCTTGTTTTTCGAGACAGGGTTTCTCTGTGTAGCTTTGGAGCCTATCTTGGCACTTGCTCTGGAGACCAGGCTGGCCTCGAACTCACAGAGATCTGCCTGCCTCTGCCTCCTGAGTGCTGGGATTAAAGGCATACACCACCAATGCCCGGTCAATCATCACCTCTTGAAGAAAGAAGTGACTCTGTTGAGAGGTAACTAATCTAAGGATATAAGGATAGATCATTAGGAGTCAGTTTTACACTGTGACTGGCCATTTATCAGAACAACAGTATTATGTTCTCCCCCAGGACCTCTGACCTGTCTAGCCACAGATTCTTAGGCCAGATATTGGTGCCAGGTGTGGGTGTCAATTTATGGATGGGCCTTACATTCAATCAGAAAGTTTGTCCCCATTACATTCATGCCACCGTTATGCCAGTGGGCATGTTCTTAACAGGCCTATATTTTTTCCCCATTTTTTATTTAAATTAGAAACAAGATTATTTTACATGTCAATCTCAGTTCCCTCTGCCTCCCCTCCTCCCCTGCCCCCTCAACTAACACCCTACCTCTCCCATACCCTTTCTGCTCCCCAGAGAGGGTGAGGCCTTCCATAGGGGTCTTCAGAGTCTGTCATATCCTTTGGGATAAGGTGTCAGGCCTATCTTTATTGTGGCTTTCCGAGTTTACAGCCAGATAAAATTTATGACTACGTCTCCTTTGGTAGAATACACAGCACCTCCCGGTACTATGAAAGCCACCCAGCATGGAAAAACTTGCAGGTGTTTACCAGATTGATTTCCTTATATTCTATGTCTCAAGTACGTGGCATCTTTATCAGCAGGGTCTTATAATCAATTTCTGGATGCTAGCCAAGAACATTGGCAATGGCCTGAAATGTTTGAGAATCTGTGAGCACCCAGTGTCCAGCAACTTCGAAAGTGGCTACCATTTTGGACATTGGGCCTTTTGGTTGTTAGCCTATGGTATCTAGTTAGGACTTGCCACCTCCTTGTAGAGTAACTCCATTTAAACTCTTCTCATATGTGCCTGAATACATTTTAAGGCTCCCATGAGATTTTTTTCGAAAGCTCTATGGTGTCTTTTATCCCTCATATTCCCTTATCTACTCTTCTTTCCCAGCCCCCACCCCATTTAGCTTCCTTTTCCATTATGCCCTTTACCTTTTTATATCACTTCATTCTGTCTCTGCTCCCTTGAAATCTCCATGCCATGGCCCCTTACTAATCTCCTGACCTCCATAGATGTTCCCGATGAAGCACATATATCTAAAGAGTCAAAGATAGTATCTACAAATCAGAGAAAACATGGCACGTTTGTCTTTCTGGGTCTGGGTTATCTCACTTGTGGTGGTCCTCATCCATTCACCTGCATATTTCATAATCCACACACACTTCTGTTGAAGACACCTAGACTATTATGAATAGAGCAATGGTGAACATGGATGGGCAAGTTTATGTATAGTAGGGTACAGAACCCTTTGAGTATAGAATTCTATAGATAGATCATGTGGTGGTTCATTTCTAGCTTTTTGAGCAACTTCCACACAGATTTCCATAGGGCCCCACTTTTACACTCCCACGAGCAGTGGTATAAAGTATTCATTGACAGGTCCTATTGTGAAAATGCCAGAATTTGACACAAGAGGGCAGCAAAGCCATTTGACATACTTTTTCCGGCTTGGTAACTTTTTTGTTCTGTTTTGAGGTCCCTTTTCAGAGCGGCTTTTCATTTTTATTTTGGCGGTTTTCTGGCCAGCATGCTCTGGTGATACCGATTCGCTGACTGCCCTTTTAATTGCAGTGTGCAATTCCCGTGCTGAGACCAGCCCTGGTGGGAGGTTCCTGTTAGCTAGATTCCTGTCAAAGTTGTGGTTCCTGACTCTGCTGTTTTCACCACACAGCACTCTGGGGTGAAATGTGATGGTTCAGCAACTCTTGGGTCACTGATACCCTGGTGCCTGCTCGACACTGTGCAGCCTCCAGCTCCCCTGTCTGTCTGTTTCCACTGGTTCTTCCAGGGAAGGACTCGTGATGTTGTCTCTAAGTCTCTGCTTCTGTGAATCCTCAGGCTCTTGGTTTTCTGAGAACACTCAGGTAGTTATGGTTTCAAGTTTGCCATATAGAGACTGTGAGGGCAAAGATGGGGTTAGGAGACAGCATGCTCCTTGTTGGAAAGAGACTGGAGTAGGGACTGTGCCATCTGCCCGTAGGTCCCCTAGCAGGTGCTGTCCACAGGTGTGCTAGCACCTGTGTAAACCAGCCGCCAAAGCAGCCAGAGAACATTCCCAAGCATCTTCAGTGAAGTCTTCTATTTTCTCCCTTGAAAACCAAAAGAAAAGGCTCTTTTAAATACTGGTAGACACCATTGGGTCTACAGATCTCTGATTCTTACACTGTTAGGTTAGAACCTCCCCCGACCTGGATACACAAAGTCAGAGCTTCATCTTTAAGACACATGAGATCTTAGAAAGGCCTCCTCTGCAAGCCCCATCAACAGGTCTTTAGTGCAAGGGCATCTGACACCAGACCTCGCAGCAAGAAATTGCCTCCCTGTTCCCTGAGAAGAAGCTGCTGTGGTACAGGCAGACCTTCTCCTTGCTTCTCCCTTTGTCCTGAACACTTAGGTCATGATGGAGCTGTGAACACCGTCTGCTGGAGCCATGACAAAAGGTGGCTGTTGTCTACAGGCCGGGACCGGACACTGAGGATGTGGTCAGTTCACAGGACAGAACTCATGCTGCTTTTGGTAATGAATACATGAGCACATATGTCATGGTGGGTAGCAATGGCAGATAAGCTGCGTAGTGGTCCTGGGCTGTGGACAGTCACAGCTGTCTGGCTTTCTGGTGGGGGGGGCGGGGAGGTCAGGGCTATATAGTTTATATTCACTACAATAGAAACATGACAGTGGGACAGTTTCTTACATTCATTCACACATGAAATTCATGCATATATAAAACACATGGTAATACATTCTTGGTGTGTAATATGTACATCGACGAATATATTTAATATATATTTATATTTATTATGGTACGAAAATGGCAAAAATATCCATAGTAAAACATGGGTAATTTTACATGTTAGTTCATTATTATATTATAGAGGCAATAATGATGGACAAGAGCATGTTATGTGAAGGAGTGCGATGATTTGCTTAAATGCATGCATGTAAAGTGATTTGGAAATAGAATGAGAAGAGGGAGACAGACGCAGCACTAAATCTCACCACTAAGATGGAAAGAGGAGAGGTGCTAAGAAATCTTTCATCTTCTCATGAATTGCAACCTAACCTAGAAGTGGTGAGCATTTAGAAAAGTCAGAGAGTGGCTGACTCTGGACATTTTAATTATAATATCTACACTCAACAGTATGTGAAAGTGATAGAAACTGTACTTTAAAGTTTGACCTTTTCCTGGGCTGCTGAACCAAGGATGCAGTGTTCCCTGGCAGTGCTCCCTGGTAATGCTGGGGTGTGCACATGCTCCGTTGGTCTCGTGGTCCACACTCTGCAGGGTCTGAATACTAAGTTGTGGCGCTCCACGTTTGGCTAGGTCTTGAGTGCATTGTCATCTGCCACAGTCAGCTGCATCACCTCACAAGTCATGTCTCTGGAGAGGTCAGAAGGGCAAATGGGCTGGTCAGGGTCAGTACCCTACAGGAAGTTCCCAGCAGCCCCAGAGCTCTCAGTGCTGGTCCCTGGGCTGGGGCCTGATGGGCCATGAGACAGGAAGTTGGTAGTAGACACCTAGAACTGTGTTCCAGATGGTCTCAGTTTCAACCCCTTGATATCCAGTGCCTCATTTATCCCCATTTCCCAATCTTCTGAGCCAGCTCTGTGGCAGAAGCCTGTGATCTCAGATTAAGGAGGCCGAGGCAGGGTGATCCTCCAAGTGAGTTCGAGGCCAGTTGGGATCACATATTGAGATCCTGCCTCAAAATTCCCTTCCTCACAAAATTCCCTTCCCTTTCAACGTTTTTCATCTTAGATTTTGTAGATGGGCAGAATCGAAAAGCCTCATCACAGTGAGCTTTGACAGCAAGCAGAATCCGCGTTGTGAGCTGGCTGTGACAAGATGTGTTCAGGATGAGGACAGGAGTGGGAGGAGGGCTGTTGGGAGACTGCGATAGCGTGCTGCGGTGCTCACAGCTGTTCTGCTTCACAGGGCCCAGATTTCTTCCCCAAGCCAATAACATCTGCACAGTTCTACTACATGGATTCTTTCATACTGTTGTCTTCTGGCCCTGAATTTCGACTGCTAAAGTACCACATTGACCTCTGTAGGGATGACATACGAAGGTAGGTGGCCTCCCCAATGCTTCTAACCCTCCTGATCCTGCCCCAAAGAGCCAGCCCCCTTTCTCACTCTGGCCCACCACCTCTTCATTCTTAGAGATATGCACTTTAAATTTTCAGTCTATAAAATACAGAAGGGGGAATTTGCAGTTATTAGCTTCTCAGTTGTCCTGCCTCAGAACACACTCCTCTGCTTTTGAGTTTAACATGATGTCCCTCCTTGCTCTTACTCTTTTGTCCGTTCATTTTTTGGTCCTAACCATCATGTTACCACTATACAAGAGTTAGTTTAGTCTTAAAGTGAAGTTCTGAGGGGCTGTCTGCCTCTGCCTCTATATTTCCCTTTTCTTTAATTATCTTAAGAAAATAGCCATGGATGAATGGAAAGGTGAATGCAAGGAGTGTCTCTTAAGAAGTTGCTGTAATTTCTAATGCTGGGAAACTAAATGCATGTTTAAACATTGGTATTCATGTTCTGCATCCAGTGCAAACATTGAAATGTTACTTAGAGGAATATCTAATAATAATGATAGACTTTTGATATTTAAAGTAAAAATTACTGTAGCATAAATATGGTTTCATACTAAAATGTCTGGCAGAATATTCATCACAATGCTCACTTATGTAAAAAGAGACTTTTTGTTTTCCTTCTATATTTGCCACCTTATGTAATAAAACATATTTTACTTTCCTTATCAGTGGAAAGTTGTTAGAAGCATAGGTATAAATGGATTCTGATGAGTGATTTACGGTGACGGAGCTCATCAAACTTCTGGGATGTCAGCAACTGTAATTTTGCTTAACCTGTTTGTCGTTATAGGCAGGGCATGTCATCTCATCATAACAGGGTAAAATGACACAGTGTAGAAGGAGGAGCTACTTATTGCCTGCGGCATACTTGAACTCATGTGATGGCTGCACTTGCAATGTTGGAACTGTCTTGCATTGCATTTTTTGGGTTCAGTGCAGAAACTAACCCAGCCCATTTCTTTCATCCCACTCACCCCAGCCCACACAGCACTGCTTTCCCCTCTCATCTGCTGTATCCTACTTTATCCCATCCTGTTCTTCCCTCCCATCCCACCCCGTCCCA